TACCCAGAGACAGAAAGTTATACATAAGACTAAAAGTGTGACTTCACTTCATAACCTCAGAAGCATTCTTCCTGGCATTAACAAATTGAATTTTTATGTAGTTAAAGAGAAGTATGGACTCAAACTACCATGTTTTCTGACAAAAACAACTCTAAAATGCAAAACAATTGCATTTCTTTGCAAATGGTCTCTTAATCTGATTGGTCTTTTCCCCAGTAAAGTTGAATTCATGGCATTTAACTGGATTTGATTATCAGACAGACATGTTGCTTGTGTGTTTTTTATAATAGAGGGCTTAGGCAAGTCCTCTTGGGATCTCCATGGTGAAGTGTGACCCAGTTTTTAGAACAGAAGAGTGAGAAGCAAACAGCTTCCCAATTCTGGTTCCAGCTTCCTCTGTACTTTTGAATAAACGACTTGCCAATTGCTTTTCCTTCTTTTACGCGGTGTTAGTAACATTGACTGTCCATTAACACTTTAATCAATACTTTTGATGAGAAAATGAAAAATTTTCAGCCAATGTTTGGAAAGTCTTTGGATATCACAGTTCACTTAAAAGTGCTAAGCCATTGTTTTATGTTGGTAACAAACGACTTTGATGAATCAGTGAAAGAAGACCAGATTTATAGTTTGCAGGTACGTCATTTGTTTCTGAAAACCTGCTCTTTTTGGATATAGTCTTACATCACCTCTGTAACATGAAGAGTCCCCAAGGATTTATGACGTAAGAGTCCTGAAGCAGCTTCTGAACTTGGTTCAGTTAAAACTTCATTGCCAAGGCAGGAGACTGCTTTGGCCAAATACAAATGTATGTACTGCTGCCAAGTGATACAAATTTAATTGAAAAATAACATTGCTCACTATAAATTCATCAGATTTTCTCCCATCTTTTGATGAAGCTTAAAATATTCATTTACTATTTGTTCGCTTTTATTAACTGCCCCTTAGCCGATTTTGCATTCTTTGAGTTTAAAATGAAAACTACAACTTGAAACCAATAATATATCTTTAATTATTGATAGAAGCACAGTCAGCTCAGCATTCTATTTCATATTGCCATGGGATGGTGGAATTTTGAGTTATGACTTGATCAAGAATATTTAAAACTGTTTTGGAAACATTGAAAGTGAAATCTTCTATTGAAGGACATGTGAAGAATGAAAAGGAAATATGAGCATAAAATTCTGTATAAGTAACACACGTGTTGATAGGTTCAATTTACAGACAGGTGTTAAACATCTTTTAAGTGCATCGCAAAAGGTCACCAGTGATACTTCCTCCTGCCAAACTAGAAAGATTTCGAGTACAAGCCAAGTGTCAAAAGCTCATGCTTTTCACTAACAGATCTGCCTAGTTAAATTCAGGGAGACTCATTATCAGAGAACTGGCCATCAAGTGATGAATTCTTTTGGCCACAGAAGCTTGTGAAATAGTACTAAGGTATTGATGAAAGGGGTTTCCCCTTGCATCACTGGAGGAAATCCCTGCTCACTGGGATACAATGAAATCACTCACAGATTCTTACAGTATTGACGTATGTGCACTAAGGGACAGGCTAAATTTAGATGAGATGTTGGCCCTGCTTCTTCACGATCTTCCTAGTCTACCAGGAGACTAGGACTTATATATATATATCGCTGTAATACAAAATAATATTTGATATATACTTAGGAGTGGTAGCAATAAAATGCTTCCTGAGGCCTGAGAGTGAGGAAATAATTACCAAAAGGGAGATCAGAGGAGGCAGCATTTTAATTGAGTTTTACAGGATGGCTAGGGTCTGAAAAGGCTTTCCTTTAAAGGAAGAGGGGAAGACATTCCTAGAATAGACCAGCACTTCTTAAACTGTGGGTTGCGACCCCATGTGGGGTCGTGTAAGTGAATGTGGAAGTCATGAAAAATTTGGCAACAGCAATAGGTTTCTGAACACCCAACGACCAAAAACTAATTCAAAATCAAATGCTTAATGAATTGGAGGTGTTTCTGGTAGCACTTGCTTGTGTTGCATCATGTGGCTTCACTGCAGCCTTGGTTCTAAACACGTAACGTGTGCACTTTGCACTGTGCGTGCTGTCACACCACGCAACGCCAACGGATGCTGCCAGAAATACCTTGGATCAGATTCAAAACTATCGTATGTTATGAATTGCAGTGTTTTTACTGTACATCCAAAATCGTTAAATGAATTTTGGCTTGGGATTAGGACAGAATTTCCAACAATTTCTGAAATGGCCCTAAACATACTTCTACCATTTTGTGCTACATATTTATGTGAAGCCGCATTCTCAACAATGATGATTATAAAATCAAAATATCGATCAACTCTGAAAAACGTTGAAGATGCTCTACATCCTGCGGTATCAAATATTCCGCCAAGATTTAATTCTTCATGTAAAAATAAACAAGCACGTCCATCTCATTAGTATGCAAATTTGTTTTCATCTTTAATAAATGGTAAAATTACATGTATGCCAAAGAATTGTTTTTAAAATAAATTTCTTTATGATTTATTATCAATAAATGTTTGATTTGTGTACCTGTTTTATATACCCATACACCTAGGGTCACGTAAAAATTTCTCAGGCGAAAAGGAGTCACAAGTAGAAAAAGTTTAAGAAGCCCTGGAATAGACAGAAATGTGAGAAAGAGTTGTCTGAAAGGTAGGAAGAGAGCTAGGAGAGAATAGTGCATGGTACATAATATGCACTAGACATAATAGGTTTGTTAATTGACAGTTCAGATTTAAGCCCAAGTCTTCTGATCCAAAATCTATTACTCTTTCTAGCAGCAGCTCTATCTATCTATCTATCTATCTATCTATCTATCTATCTATCTATCTATCAATCTATCTATCTATCTAACAGATCAAGGGTCTGTTTGTCCTTGGAAATTATTCTCATGTCTCTTCTGCAATCCCTGTTCACCAAAATCCCTATTAATATTGGCCCTAGACTGTAGTACTATGCTGTGTACTAGACATACAGTATTTACATGAATTAGATTAGATGAGGTCCTTGCCCTCAAGAATCAAACAGTCTTGTAGCAATCATGCTAAGCCCAATACCCTTGGACACATAAAGTTTATATAAGACTCAGAGCCTGCTTTTAAGTATAAAGAAGGGCCATAAAGGAAATTTTCATGTCTTTGTGGAATTCAGTACCTTGGCCTCTCACCACACCTTTCCTTCCCCAAAAACAATTAATCTAGAATATGTGACTTAATGCTACCCAGGCAATGTGCCCGTTATCTTATTTAATAGTATAAATTTATGTGCTGGAAAAAAAACTTGCATAAGAGTGAAAATTATTCTCATAGCAACAGGCTGTGGGATGTAATCACTCACAGTGGGAGCTAATGCTTAAGACAGGAATCAGATATTCTCAGTGGTTAAAATGGGTGTTTGTACCTTCAAATATGACTAAATCTGAGACAAAGAACACAGAATTATTCCTACTAACTTTGTAAGAGATATAACAGTCAATAAATAGGAATAGAGATAGAACACTGAGGAGAACCCCTCCTCTACCATTTTATCATTAATTTAGAAATTAGAGGGTCTGGAAATGTGAAGCAGCCTAACAGGCCTTCTAGTAACACTCTTAGCCAAGCCATCACAAGGTGGGTAATAACTGTGTGGGGAGGGGGATGGAAGGGATAAGTGGTTAAGCCCTCTCTGTGGGAATTACGGATAGAACTGTAAGAAAGGGGTTCCTTAACCTTTTTTTAAATCACAAATCCCTTTGGTAGTCTGTGAAGCTTATTGATCCCCTCCTAGAACAATATATTTAAATGCATAAAAGAAAATATACATAATCACAGAGGAAACCAATTATATTGTAATACAGTTACCAAAATATTAAAAAAGCAAACAAAAAAACCTCCCAAACTCATAAGTTCATAAACTCCAGGTTAAAAACTCCTTTTATTTTTGGGGGGGGGCGTGAGGCAATTGGGGTTAAGTGACTTGCTCAGGGTCACACAGCTAGCAAGTGTTAAGTGTCTGAGGCCAGATTTGAACTCAGGTCCTCCTGACTCCAGGGCCGGTGCTCTATCCTCTGCCCCAAAAGCTGGCATTTTAGTTGGAACGTAAAGGAAGCCAGAAAACTCTGTTGGTGGAGATGAGGAAGAACAACATTCCAGGTATGGGGGACAGCCAGAGAAAGAGGCAAGAAATGGAGTATGTCATCTGTGGAATGGCAATGAGTCCAATGTCACTGGATAGAAGAGTACATGGTAGGGAGTAAGGTATAAGAAAACAGTGGAAAGGTAGGAGAGGCATTGCTAATTCTGTAGCAACCCCAAGTTTTCTTCTTACTCAAGGTAGGAGGGAGTGGACCTCAACTTCAGAGTAGTACTAAAGGTTGAGAGTGCTGTGTAAGTCCCTAGGGCAGGTGGGACTCATGAGAGAGTGAAAAAACTGACCATAACATCTTATAGGTTCGGGTGCAAGTCCTTTGTATTTTGTTGTCCTTGTGGAGGGGTATAAAGCCTACCCTATCTTTGATGTAATGTTAGCTTGAGCATTTGTCCGGGAATTGAAGTCCCTTTAACTTTTCCTTGAAGATTTTGACAGGAGCCAAATTGGTATGCTTCTGGGGAAAATAATGGGTAGGGACAAAACAATCCCAATTCTGATCCCATGAGAAACTTAAGGTGGAGATGTGAGTCAACAAGAGATTGTATGACCTGCTAGATTGAATGCACTCTATGTAAATGTAGAGCTTCAGTTGTGGACGCTTAGTTACCTAAGCTAGGCATTTTAATGTAATTTTTTTTAATGCATCTAGCCTTAAAACATCAGCTTAAGAAGTACTCGTTGAAATAATTATTGTGAAAGCTGTCAACATTGTTGACTTTAGACTGATTTTTAAATTGCCATTAAAGTGATCATTCTTCATATGCCAGATTAAGCAATATCTGTACATATGCATAATACAAATACATAATTAATTCTGTCAGACACAAACATAATTCTGTCTTATCTCTTCTTCTTATCCAGGCATAAGCTTCTTCTTCATGATAAAAGTGTTCCTATTATTATGAACACATACTTTTGCCAGAAAGTTGTCGTCAAAGAAGATTCAGAAAAACTTGATAAAATGCACTGTCTGGGGATATTGCCTATAAGAAGAAAAATCATTTCCTTGGCTCGGATGTTTAGATTTAAAAGCCAAATAAATGATATTGCTCAGGAATCAGAGGGACATCAGGTAAATTCTTCTTGGATTAGGAAAGTAAAGCTTTGTCTCAATATTGGTTGAGAAGATTTTGTGAGTCATTGACATCTTTTGTCTCTAAATAAATAAATAGCAAAACATGTTAGGGAGTTTTATTGTTCTTTACTGAATGGAAGAAGGATCTTTGACCCATCCAGGAACTTAGTGTTCAGTTGTATTCTATTCCCATTCTTTTTAATCTCCATATTATTATTCTGATTATGTTACATTTTACTCATTTATTTAATTATGTAAAAGTTAGGCTGTTTTCCTCAACTTAATACCAAATTACCTGGTCCATTTGTCAGACCTGTCTTAGGGATCTTAAAATGCTCCAATACTTTGGTTTCAGCTTCCTTCTGAAAGCTACTATTTTCTTTTGAGTGATACTAACTTCATAATTCGCTGCTCTTTGGTCTTTTGGTTGGATTTTAAACTATATAATGCTAGAATTAGAAGAAATGGAAGAATTGAGAAAGATTTATGAAGAAATGCATTCAGGGTTTTTATTCAGCTATTTTATAAGAGGTCAGGTAGAACATTTGAGCAGTAAACTCAATTATCAATGGAAATATTGAAGGGAAATGGTTATGATGGAGAGAGATCTATTAATCTTTTATTAATTTATATAATATATGGGATTTAAAATAGTTTAAGGTAGATTAAAGCTCTGAATATAAAAATGAAAGACATTATTTGATTGAATTAAAAGCATTTATAACGTATTTACTAAGCATCAAGCATAGGAGATGTATTTATCTAGACAGTGCCTGCCCTTGAGGAGCTTACATTCTAATAGGGAGAGATAAAACACTTAAGGAAGTAATGCACAGAACTGGGAAGACAGAATAATGCTGAGAGGAGCCTAAAGGAAGTTAGTTGACAAGTCCTTTCCAGAAGCAGTGGTCATATTGATTTGATCACTGTTCTCAGAGTAACAGGTGAGTTACTCTGTTACAGAGACAGAGGGGAAGAGTTGGAATACTTTGATGGCAAAGGTTCAGATGGAATGTGAAATATGGTATTTTGTCTGGAACTGGATACATTAATATTTTATTAATTTAATTGGTTTTTAGTTTATTGATTTTAGTTTAGATTAATTTGTATTTGTATTAGTTTATGGAGTAGGTCTAACTTGTTTTCACTGGCTGATTCTGGAATCAGTACAAAATATCCCCAGGGCTGTGGTTCCAGAGCTGAGTGGATTAAGTCACTGAAGGTTCAATCTCAGGAAGAACAAAAAGATAAAAATATGTAGGACAATAATAATAATAGGTTACACTTCTCATTGTTCCCTCTGTTCTCTCTGCTTATAATATCTGTCCCAGACATTAATAGTTGAAGTAGTGGAATCCAAAACAACAGTTCTATCTTGGAGACCATTGTGTTCCATGATGTCTTTAATGTTACAGTTTTCTTGGTTGAACATAGAGCCATTAAGTTTCTAGGATATACTCTGTTTGATGAATACCTTTTAAATCACTTTATCCTTAAAAAAAAATGGAAACAAGTTGAAATTTCCCTGAGTATAACAATGATAAATATAACCTCCTTGAGGACAGGGACTGTTTTTATTTTTTCTTTGTACTTCACATAGGGTTTGACACATATTAAGAGCTTTGCTGATTGATTATTGATAATGAAAATGCCAGTAATAAGTTAAATCCCAGTTATTTCTCTTGAATGTCTTTGCCAGATAATGTGCACTAATGTAACTACTACCAGGACTGGCGGACCCCATGACTTCCAAGAAACAAAACAGTACATTCCAGCGCAGCTCTCTATAAGTGACTCCCTCCTGGATGTGGTTGAAAGCCAGGGAACAGCCAGATGGAAAGGAGTGCAGGTCCAGGTGGTGGTGCAAAGAGTATATTACCTTCCTATAAGGGATGTCTCCAGATATCAACAAGGAAACAGCTCTGCCCAGTTGGCTGCCCCATTGGGAAGTGCAGACCTTCACAGTGCTCGGTGAGTTGCCCAAAGAACCTTGGCATTCTGGTACCATAAGCTAGGTATTTCCTTTCATGTGAAGGAACTGCAAGGTCCTATTTCTCAACTCAACTCTTTGGAGCAAATGTTTAGCTAGGCCTAGGAACCTTATGGGTTATATGAGTTGGAAAAATAAATTAATAAACAACTGCTTTGGAGACTTAAGTGGTAAGCCAAGCCCATCTGGAAGGCAACACATTTATATTTGAACCTGGTGCATTAAGAGGGGTTACTTTTGATAAAGAAGATTTTTGTAGTTATAATGTGTAGTTTTTAAAACAGAATAGTTTACACATTCTTTTTTCAGTATCTTCCTATTGTTTATAGGATAAAATACAAATTCCTTAGCTGGCTATTTAAAGCCATCTATTATCTGGCTCTAAACTGCCTTATTTGGCATTATTTTTCTTCATATGTTCTGTATTCCAGCAGTTCAGCCATACTGGACTGTTTAACTGTCCCTCATTCTCTCATATCTGTGCATTCATGCAGATTATCTCTTTTGTCTGGATATCACTCTCTCTTTATTTCCACCTTTCTAAGTCCTTCTTTTTTTTTTCCAAGGCTCAGCTCAGGTGATATTGGCTTCATGAAACCTCCCAGAGTCCCTTCAAATAAAAATATTCTCTTCCCCCCGTTGTCCTCTCCAGCCCTCAGTTACCTCATTAAATGAAGGTATTGAATGCAGTGATCTCAAAGTTCTGTTCCAGTTCCGTAGCTATGATTCTATAATCACATGGATGTTACCTTTCATTCAGAAGGAGCCTAAGAGATTTCAAGCATTCTAGCAGAGATACCTTCACTACTACTCTTGGCCAGGACTGGAGACATTTGGAAGCAGTACTTACTTATACTTACTACTTACTTATACTTATTACAATCAAGTACTTAATTTTTTAATAAAGTGGAGCTAGAGAAATTTTGGAGTAAAATATTAGAAAATAAGCTTTCTTGCACATTGCATGTAAGAAACATTTTTATTAATGCTTAATTTAAATTCACCCATAATTTAATATTTAGAGGGGGATAGAAATATCACTAGCATCACAATTTTCTCACAAAAGCCCCTAGTCATATTTTATGGAACTCCAGAGTTCTGTGGAATGCAAATTAAGAAATCTTGTCATAACTTCATCCCTTGTATGTAGTTAGATCATTACAAAACTCCATATCTGGAGTTTATTATAATAACTTCCTGCAGAAATGACTTTAGTGTATTAACACTTAATATAAGGCCCTCAGCTTCTACAGGGGGTTAACATAAAAGAGTGCCTGTGTAGAAATGGCTTCTGTATATCTTACAAAACAACTCAGTTGGAGACATAGCCTATTATGTTGTCTAGTTTGCCTTATATGAAGATTTATGTGAAAATGCCAGTTTAATGCCAGGAAGATGTTTGTTTCTTCAGAGCAATTTATGATGCTTCCTTTTATTAAACAATCAGACCTGTTTAAGCCAGTGTGTTTCTCTTTTCGCCTTTATAGCTAGAAAGCTCAGGGCTTAAAGTGTTGTTCAACTACAATAAATAACTCATCCCAGATGCAAGAATCCCACACTCCCCTTTTCACCCTGGTTTTTCTCCTGTATTTTTTTTAATTGCCCGTTTTAACCACTGCAAATCAATTCACATCCTTTTTGAAAATACAAATAATGCAAAAAATTAATAAGCACATAGTTAAAACTTTAACAGGGCCTACAAAATTCATTTAAAAGTATCCTCATGATGGCAACCATCAGAGTAAGAGGGAGAGATTGAAGAAGGAAGTTGTGTACATCTTCCTCTTTTCTCTTCTATCTTGATCAGCAGAAGAAAAGCCTTTTCCAAAGGCTAGACAAGCAGTACCAGCCATTGTACCTCCTTCACATAATGCTTGTTGCTGCATATACTAAGCCAAGAGTCCAGTGATATGTAATAAGTACTTTCCAGCTTAAAATGAAATCAAATATTAATATTGCTTCATTGTCTATGGTGCCTTTTATAAAAATGTAGTTACTCTGTTTATCTCTTTTAATTAAATTTATCTTAGCTTTAACTTTGAGATTATGATTGCTATCCCTGTTTTTTTTTACATCAGCTGAAGCATAATAAATTCTCCTTCCAACCCTCTATTTTAATTCTGTATCTCTCATTTTTAAATGTGTTTCTATCTAGCTCATAGATATCTAGTTTATATCTAGCTTATTTAAAATTCTGTTCACTTCCTTGACTTCTTTCTTATTTATTTTTCAGTTAGATTTATCTAGTTCTGAGAGTGAAAGATTAAAGCTGCCCACTATTATAGTACTACTATCTATTGCTACCTGTAATTCATTTTTTTCTTTTAAAAACTTAGATCCTTTAATATTTGGTGCATCTAGGTTTTTTTTTTTCTATTTAATATTATGGGAATGCTTATTTTATTTCTTAAGTCCGGAATAAAATAAATCCTTTTTTAAATGAAAAAAAAAATGAAATCAAATAACATCTTTCAAGTTCCACATTTATTTTTGACGTTCTTCCTTAAACTTTGTTGTGAGAGAATATGGCCTTGGGTTATTTATTTCAAGTATCTAACCAGAGAGACAGCATGATGTAGTGGATAGAGAACTGGCCTCAGAGCCAGATATATCTGAGTTTAAGTCCTGCCTGTAACATATATTGTCTGTATGACCTGACAAATCATACAGAAAAGCTGCCAGTCTCCATTGGTAAAGGGAGTGTCCTTACCTAGGAGTTGCCTATTTCAGTGAAATCAAAGGCCTGTCTCTAACCCCATTTCAGACAATGGTCTTCATCTCTTATCTACAGGGTTTTCGTGAGGATCATGTGAGATAATGTATGTAAAGTACTTTGTAAACCTTCAAGTGCTATATAAATGTAAACTATTATTATCAGTCACAAAATGTGCTAAGGATCTCAAGCTCTTTTCCTGGTGCGTTGGGCTATTTTCACCACCACCTACTTCATGTACATCATGTAGCTATTGACCCCACTTTGTTCAGATAGCTATAATCCAATTGAAAATTTTTTGGGGAAAAATAAAGTTTTAAGCTAGATTTAAGCTAGTTCTAGTACAAATAGATAAGTACTGAAACTTAAGTGTATAATTTGAGTTGGCACTGTTGCCTAAGATCACCTCTTGGGTATGATATCTGGGCACTATAAAAATGTTTATTTGTTGCTTAGCTCAACATCTTGAACATAGTGGACAAACTAGTAAATACATGTCTGTAGATAATGGCTCAGTACAGTTTTACTGAGGTAGAAAGTCTTTCCTTAGTTAATAAAGTATGGTGAGATATAGTAAGGTTGCACCAGTGAGGAAAAAAATAGTGTTCTTCATAGCATCCTTCAGCCTTTAACAAAAGCATTAAGTTCAGTTCAACAGATGTGTGCCATGTGTCTGCTGGGTGCAAGGGCTCGAGATTGGTGTAGTGCAACCAAGGATTTCTGGCACATGAAACAGAAGCTGGAGCCAACTCCTGGAGTACTCAGGGGACAACAAAAGGCACCCCAAACCAGACAATCCAGTCTGAGGTTAGATAATTGGCACTCCTGAATCACAGCCCAGTTGGCAATGCTGCAGGCTCTTAATGCTTTATTTTGGCATTATTGTAGTCCTCTGGATTTCTGAAGTTGCTTGAATTCTAAAAGAAAAAGATACTACACTTATATAAATCCTAGGGCAACATTGCCTTTATTTCAGTTTGGAATATGTATGATCAATCAGGCAATGAACAGACATTTTTAAGGGCCTGCTATTTGCACTAGTTTTTGAAGTTGTTACTTCCCAAAGGAAAGGGAAATAAATATCTGTTTCTTGGCCTCATAGCTCATCTTGCTGCCTTGAGGTAGGTTTCATTGTGATTATCTGGTATAGGAATGGATTAGATAAAAGTTTTGAATGATGTGTAATGTTAAGTTTTTAAGAGGTGCACATGTGCTAAGCTGGGAAATGAGCTTCCTTTGTGAAACCTGCTCCACCTGAGTAGGCAAACCACATATTCAGTGGAGGTGGAGAGCTAAGGCTGAGTCACATTGACAAGATAGCGTGATGAAACTAGCTTCATTATTGCTTCTGCTGTGTTTGTTTTGTGAGTAATCAAAACCAAGCTCAGTATCCAAGGCTATCCCTCCAGTCCTTTCCATGGTACCTGTTTTACTTGTTAAATGCATGTGTGAGAGTTGAGACCCAAAGCACAGTGAATCACTGCCAATGTTGAGCCCTGAATGCTTTGGATAAGCAACTTGGAAGGAACACATACTAATGCATGTACTGGCAAGAAGATCTTGGTGGTATAGGACTGAGCAGGGGAAATCTTAAAAAATAAGAGATTGAGGGAAGAAGAACAGTCATTGAGATTATAGCCTCTCACAAGGGAACAGTAAGGATAAAGATCACAGATGTTTTTGGACTAAGTGATAGCTAACTGTGCTTATTTGAGGGTCAGGTTTTTTTTTTTTGTTTGTTTTTTTGTTTTTAGGCAATTGGGGTTAAGTGACTTGCCCAGGGTCACACAGCTAGTGAGTATTAAGTGTTTGGTCTGAGCCCGGATTTGAACTCAGGTCCTCCTGACTTTAGGCCCAGTGCTCTATCCGTTGCGCCACCTAACTACCGCCTGAGGGTCAGGTTTTTCTGGGAGCAATAGGAAACACAAAAGTACTTTTCCTTAAGGAAAATTAGTCAGGGCATTCAGAAAAAAAAAAAATTGAGGCAACATGAAATATGCAAAAGAGTACCACAGTCAGAAGACCTGGGTTCTAGTTCTAGCTCTGGCCACTTGCTGGCAGTGTGACTTTGGATCAATCATTTAACCATTCTGACTCCCAAATTCTTCTTCTATAAAATGGGATTAATATCTGCCCTGCCTACCTCATAGGGCTATTACGAGGACCAAAGAAGCTGAAGGATTTGAAAGCACTTTGTAAATCGTAAAGAGCCATACAAATGTAAGGTGGTGCAATAGCACATTTAAAATATATGTGCCCTTGGACAGA